GTTATTCTAACTTGAATCATAACCCTAAACCCTAAACCAAACCCTAATACACGAACCAATCAATACCATATACTCTACAACAATAACAACACCTTATAGGCTTATACCGTAACCAATCAATAACATATATACTTTAAACCATCAACACCTTGCTCCTCCCTTATACCATAACCTTCAAGACCTTATACTGTATACCAACAACACCTTCTTCTATCTCCATCCCCAACTTTCAATTTATAATAAGTGTTTCCTTTGAATACAAAATGGAACCCACCTTGGCAATTGCTAGCATAATTTAGGGATGTAGATGAATAGAAATTGTTAAGTGATGAATTGCTAAAATTGATGATGTGGCGGTAGGGACCTCGTTTAGAAATTGTTGTTCAATTTTAGGGATGAAGATGATCAATACACTAACCTAATACCATATACTCTAAACCATCAACACCTTATGCAATATCGTATTTTAGGGATGGAGATGATCAATACACTAACCCAATACCATGTACTCTAAACCATCAACACCTTATACAATATCGTATACCTATACGCTGATAAATTAAAATTATAACTTGCTTTTCAAAACATAAATTAAAAATTGATACTCACTAAGTATCGAACCACAAACCTCTACTTTATTGACTAAGCAAATAACAGACAATTAACCAATTAAGCTACATCACATTGATGACCATCTTGCATAATTTCGCTTTCTTATTAAGTGAAGGGTTATAATGAACGATAAATATATCACAGGGGATTGTTTCAACTTCGGCGGGGACTGAGAGAGTGGAAAAGGGGTAATTATTCTACCAAAAAAGAAAAGAAAAGGGGGAATTAACGAAGAGTTAAATTGGACGGATTGTCTTTAGCACGCCACTACCACCCAAAATCCTTCGGAGCAAAGACATGTTGGTTCAAGTCAAAGAATAAATGAAGAAAGATGAAGTTAAGAACTCTAACTAATTTTGATTCCATATGTGGCGAATCGCTAATGGGCGGGATAACCAACATGGCAAAATCGTTAATGAGAACCTACTTTGCACACACCAAATCATTTTATCTCGTACCGATAAATGAGTAAAGAGACACGCTACAATAATTATGTCTAAATTTCCTGATAATAAGGCATGATCAGCATTTATAAGAAGATGTTAAGACAATATAAAATCGAGAAAAATAAAACAACACCTACCCTCGGCCGAATCAATCAATACAATATGCTCTGGACCATCAACAATTCAACACCTTATAAACCATCCCATATACCATATACTCTAAACCATATACCATATACTCTAAACCATCCCATATACCATATACCATATACTCTAAACCATCAACAACCTAATACACTAACCAGTCAGTAATCATTAACTTAACCATAAACACCTTATACAATAATCGCATACCTATACGCTGATAAAATTTTACATTTTGAAAATACTTGTCCAAGTAAAGTACACAAGTACTTCAAAAGTGAAATTCTAACTTTCGTTTCAAAACATAAATTTAAAAAATATCCTCACTAAGTATCCAACCACAAGCCTCTAATTAGTCTACAAGAGGTTTGTTATGTCAAGAGGGGCAAACAGTGAGAGAGTGGAATATGGGCAATTAATAAAGAGTTAAATTGGGCGGATTGTTTTTTACCTCGTACCGAAGCCCACTTTTGAAGGGAATTTAAAAGCCCAACTAGACTTTGTCCTAAACGCACCGTTAATACATAAACACAAGTTAAGGCGACCTCTCCATCCGATTCGAATCAAATCCTGTCTTCTTCATCTTCTTCCTCAATTAGGTCGAAGACTGTGTTGCTTATTTCATCTTCAATTTGTGTAAATTCCGGTCGAAAATATAATGGCGAAGAACAAAAAGTCGATTGTGGATACAAGGAAACGATGATTATGTGGAGATTTTTGATTCCGGTCGGAAATAAAATGGCGAAGAACAAAACGTCGATTGTGGATACAAGGATTTGTGGTTCAAAATGATGATTATGTGGGGATTTTAGATTGAAAGGGATCTTCTCTTCGAACGTGGATACATAGATTTGGAGTTCAAAAGATGATGATGTTGGGGATTTGATATTGGATTGGGAGCTAAATCGAATGTCGATCAAATGATAAAAAGGATTTCAGATTTCAGAAACGATGATAAAAGGATTATGTTCGAACTTCGAACTAAGAGGGGACATCCCCTCCAAGACGAATGAGGGACTAGAAATTGGTTAGGGCGGCGGGTCGTATCCATAGGGTTTAACCTCTTAATCGATATAATTAAACCGGGTACAGTTAGGTTGAAGTCCAATGAAAAACGCTTAAACGCTTCGTGATGCTTTTGGTAATTTTCCTTCCCCTGGTTACCCGTACCCCGGATTTTGCCCTGGGCACCGTAGAACTGCCCATACCTTGAGTATGAAAACGCTATCTAGACCTCGAATTAGCAGGATTTTTGGGCATGATACTATACCCTAACCCTTAATGAGTGAACCCTAGGTCCTAATGATCTAAATCATAAACTATAAACCTTAAGATGGGGCATTGATTTTTTTGCCTATATTTGGATGAATCATAACCGTCGATTATTGTTTCTAATTAAATTGATCTTGGAGTATAAGATTTAGAGAATTAAGACCTAGATTTTGATCTTTAAGAGTTAGAGTATAGTATAATGTCCGAAAGATCAGTCAATTCAAGTTCTAGATAGGGTTTTCTTACTTAAGGTATGCGGTACCCCGGATTTCACCCGGGGTACCTTGAGTATGAAAACGCTATCTAGACCTCGAATTAGCATGATTTTTGGGTATGATACTATACCCTAACCCTTAATGAGTGAACCCTAGGTCCTAATTATCTAAATCATAAACTATAAACCCTAAGATGGAGAATTACTTTTTTTGCCTATATTGGGACGAATCATAACCGTCGATTATTGTTTCTAATTAAATTGATCTTGGGGTATAAGATTTAGTGAATTAAGACCTAGATTTTGATCTTTATGGGTTAGAGTATAGTATCATGTCCGAAAGATCAGTCAATTCAAGTTCTGTATAGTGTTTTCTTACTCAAGGTATGCGGTACCCCCGATTTCACACTCAAGGTATGCGGTACCCCGGATTTCACCCGGAGTACCATAGAACTCCCCATATATATATATATATATATATATGGGTGATTCTATCGTACCTTGGGTAAAATCAAGGGTACAACATACCTTGAGTAAAAAAATGATATCTAGACCTCGAATTGAGCATAGTTTGGCGTCTGATATTATTCCCAAACCCTTAAGGATTAAAATCTAGGTCTTAGTTTTATAAATCTCATACACTAAGATCAATTTAATTAGAAACAAAAATCAACGGCTATGATTTGTCGAAATATATGCAACAAATTACAGGCACAATCTTAGGGATTAGGCTCTTTGATTTAGAAATCTAAGACCTAGGTTTCAATCATCAAGGGTTAGAGTATAGTATCATGTCCAAAAATTTGGTTAATTCGAGGTCTAGATAGCATTTTTTTACTCATGGTATGTCGTACCCTAGATTTTACCCAAGGTACGATAGAAGCCACCATATATATATATATATATATATATATATATATATATATATATATATATTCCACCAGATTATTTTACAAATTGCATGCTTAATGTGAATCCAGATGTCGTAAATTAAAAGTCACTACGAACCATGAAGCAAACCTTGCCCTGGTTTGTCTGGCACCTAAAGAGTTTGAATCGTTGTTGCAACAGCAGCAGAAACAATGCCTCAGAGGTTGATGCGGCAGACAATTTATGGCAAGAAATATACATTGCGAACCCACACTATGATGAACCACACATTCGCATCTCCGCAATCTAGCACACACAAACTTTTAAACCATTGCTCTGCTGTTAGTCTAAATTGGCTACCCCTTTACTCACTTTTGATCGTGAGGCCTTGCCATGTGTACCATATGGTGTTTAGGCTCTCAGCTTCTACTGATGCTACATTTATCTCTATCCATCAATCTTGCCTTTTGGGTTTCAATTGTCTTCTCTATGTGCATTCCTAACATTAATGTTTAAATTGTGTTGTACTTTTAATTCAAGAACGAAGAATATGTTAGTAGTTTGTCGTTTGATCAATATTCATTTTGTAAAAGTTTCGCGCCCCGCCACGTACGTAGTGATTGCTTCCGTTCTAGTATGTATTGAATTGCGACGGTTATAGCCCATTAGAAGGCCCACTAACAATATCCCCAAACATGTTTCTACAACTTGAGACAAGATAGTAAAGAGTACATATATTTTGTTAGTTAAATTTTTTAATTTTGATAAAATATTATGAAAATATTAAATATTAGTCAATCGTTAAATTTCCGTTTGTACTTTCGATAGATAATGTTGAATTGAAAAACGTGATGCTAAGCTGGAATTTTTTTATGATGTGGTGCTGAACAAATAAAGATAAATACAATATATTAGCTAAATTTTTTACGGTGCAAAATATTTTATTTTCTTTGAAAATTTAACCAAATATTTGGTGATATTTCAAAATTTTAACCGTTGATTTGTCGTTGTCAATAAGAAGATGGTGTTTCCTCTATAGAGCACACCTCAATAGTTGGTACCACGAATATTAGTTATATTGTACTTACTCCATAATAAAATATAGTACTTTAAAAATCACTTCGAGTTTACCCTCGTAGATAGGGCTGGCAAATCGGTTGCCGGTTAGCGGTTAGCCGTCGGTTATAACCGAAAACCGGCCAAAACCGACTAACCGAAAACCGGCCAAAACCGACCTTGGTCGGTGTTCGGATGCCCATCAGAGGCCTTCGGCTAGCCGAATAACCGGGAATGGTTAACCGCGGCTAACCGGATAACCGACCCTCACCGAAAATCCAATCTCCCATCCCAAAATTGCAAAAACCCCCCAAATCAAATAAAAAAAACTAATCGTTTCCCCTTCTCCCCATCCCCAAAATTGCAGAAAAAGATGTCGTCGCACCTGCGGCGGAAGTGCACGCCGGAGTGCGTCTTCGCCCCTTACTTCCCGCCCGACCAGCCGGCGAAGTTCGCCAGCGTCCACCTCGTCTTCGGCGCCAGCAACGTCGCCAAGCTGCTCAACGAGATCCCCGCCGCGCAGCGAGACGACGCCGTCAACTCCCTCGCCTACGAGGCAGAGGCTCGGCTCAACGACTCCGGTCTACGGCTGCGTCGGCTTCATCACCAAGCTCCAGCACCGCCTCAAGCAGCTCCAATTGGACCTCCACCTCGCCCGGCAGGAGCTCGCCAAGTACATCGGCCCTCACGCCCTGCTTCCTTCATCCGATTTTGCCGCCCCAAATGACCCCGGAAACCCCTCTGCTTCAGGCCTCTTGATGCTACCGGCGTACTGCTACAGGAAGGGCGGCGAGGGGAAGTATGATTTGGCAGAGTGCGCCATTTGCCTGTGTTGTGTTTGGTGGAGGAAGGAAGGAGGAAGGAAGGAGAGAGAAGAAAGTGGTCTGGTGGAAAAAGATAAGGATTGAAATGAGTGGTTCAAAAATTCTGTTCTTTTAATTTTTTTTTTTTTTTATAAAAGGTAATTTTCCGGTTTGGCCGGCTAACCGAGCCTAAAACCGATACCGACCGGTCGGTTGGTCGGCTAACCGTGACCTCTCTCACGGTCGGTGGTCGGCAGGTATAGGGGTGGCTCGGTTTAACCGATAACCAGATTTTCGATTTTCGGTTAAACCGAAACCGACCGATTGCCACCCCTACTCGTAGAACACCGCTCGAAATTCTGAGAAAACAAAATTATGTTCTGGGACTCGAACAATGCTAGTGGCTCCTGGGCGTTGAAGAGGCTTCTCAAACTCCGTTCGTTTGTACTGTCGCCATCTCAGCAGAACAAAATCAGTGATGAGATTTTATGGAATGGAAGGAAGTTGCCTGCCTTCGCTACGAAGCTAAGCGAGCGTGGTATTCATCCAAAGAACTATATATATATACTGGACTTCACCAAGGAACCTCTAAAAGTCTTTGGTACAACAATATATCAAAGATTTAACTTTGTATACAGGAAGGAATACAAATATGTTCAACAACGTAACCATGGATATACATACATACAGACAGACAGCAATACCTTTCTGACTCAAATACAAATGGTGGTGCCTTTCGGTCTTGACAAAAACAAAAGTGGGGTAGGAAACCCAGTTAAATCTTTTGGTTTGTGATCATCACTGTTACATTATATATAGTGGGTAGGAGTTTTGGTTGTTGTTCTTCTTCTATATGGTGCTGGCCCTATGTACAGCTCTGTCTCCACATCGATACTACTTTCTCTCTCTTCTTCCTCTTCTTCTCCAGCTGCTGCTTCTGCTACGATGATCTTGTCTTGTAGTTGCTGCTTCTTCTTGTTGCCCGATGGCAATCTCCATGGCTCCATTATTCCGCACTGGAAGGTATATATGTTCCACAAACAAGTAGAATTATTATTCTCATGCTTCCACAAGAGAATCAAGGACTATAGCTAACTTGTTGAAACTAAAGGAAAAGTTGGAGGTTTGAACAAGGGAAAGTGTTATTATATATGTACCTTCTCCTGCAGCTTTCTGTTTTCTTCCATTAGGGTCTTCTCCTGGAAATGTTCAAATTGTTTCTCTTTCGATTGTCAGTAATTGGATAGTTGTGCTAATTACAAAGATTAAAAGACTGAGAACGAATTAATATGGTTGATTATATACCTCTTGCCTTAGTTTCTCAATCTGCTCCAAAACCAGCTGGGTCTGAAAGGATGATTTGGAGAGCCCAACGTGGAAAAAAGGGTATCAGTATTGAAGAATATTGTTCTATATATAGAGAGAGAACACCAAAAGGTGATGAATGATGATGATAATTCACAATCTAGCTAGCTACGTACCTTTCTTGCTCTGATTCTGGTAATACTTCTCTCAAGCTGGCACTCTAACTTTCTGAGCTCGTCAATGGAACATGTTTCCAGACATTCTCCCATTAACTTTCTGCAAATTCCATACACGATCATATTATGCAATGATTAATTAATGGCTTCCCAAGAGTTTACGTAGACCAGTTATAACTAGCTAGGGCATGCAGCTGCTTCAACCTCTTCGAAACATCGAGTTGCTCAATCTTCTTTGCCATGCTGAAGCTGTCGTCATTCTGTATATACATGCACACATGCACAGATTAACGAAAGAGAAAGACATTAACAAACTTCCAGTTTTTGTCCTTAATTAATTACCTGTGTGTTGTCTTCAAGCCCCTTGCTCCCTGGTTCATTATCCTTTTGCTTCTTCTCATACCGCTCTATTGTTTTGATGATACTGATGAAAGGCAAGAAGAATACATGTACATTATATTGAATCGTCAATAGTATTCCAACCCATTCAAATAAACTCTTCAACGATGAACCGTATATTATAGCATAGAAATGAGGAAGAGAAATCTAAGTCAAATTTGTTGCGTGAAAGTGCAATGAAAGAAGACGTGGCACAATAGATCCTTCAAGTTCGACAAAGAATACATGATCCGGGAGCTGGAAACCCTGCTTCTTAAGGTTATGATCAACAAAAAGTGTGAATGTTATACTTACACAAACATGTAACAAGAAAATGAAAAAAAACTAAAAATGGTGAAGGCTGAAGAGGTCCTTTCCATACAAGATGTCATGTAGCCATCCTAAGAACCCTAAAAAACGATTCCAACCATAGCCTAAGACCTAAGCAGTAGTATCAAAGATCGTACACCGATTTAGGAGCTGGCAATCCCATTTCAGAAGATTATCAAGTTAAAGTGAGAGAGTTATATACAGCTCCAAATGAAAGCTTTAACATGAGAATGAAAGAAACCGAAATCCTAGTGATGGACTGGGGCTGGAGGTTCGGTTCGATTAACCAAACCGAAAACCATTTCGATTGGTTTCTGTCAAAATAAAAGGAAACAAAATTTTTATTGCGGTAGCGAATGAGGCTTATCGTTTTATTGATGGTTTTAGATTTTTACCGAAATTGAAACTAGTTAAGAGCCTATCGATCTTTATCCATTAAGCGAAACTGTTAAGCCCATAAAATCAATTCCTTGACCCTTCCATAACTAAATCTGAGCCCTTTATTTAGAAAATTCATATCTATGGGTGGAGAATTAAAGACATTTTTATTTTTCTTTGTTTTCTAAATCGGTTCATATCTTCTTCGTTTTAACTAGGATTTCAATTTTTTAGCATAGATGGAACGAGTTCGTTGTGATCTACAAAATGATATCAATTTTCAATATCATTTTAAAGAGCACAATTAATCTAATCTAACTGTGCAAAAAAATTAAATTTTGACTTAAAACGAGTGAGAAATCATTTGTTGAAGATTAAAGAGAGAAAATTAAAGGCTTTTCAGGAGAGAGAATGGGTGTTGATGTGGCGAATTCTGATTGTGTTATGCATAATTAATGACCACAAGGTTATTGACTAGATCCGCTCCCGATTAAAACCATTACACAAATAGAAGACTCCAAAAGATAGGGATGGCAATGGGTCGTGTTGGGTAGGGTTTTGCCAAACCCATGGGTTTATCCATGAAAAAAACCCGGGGTAAAACCCACTGGGTTTGAAAAACTCAAACCCAACCCAACCCGCTGGGTATCCGCGGGTTCATGGGTACCCATGGGTTTTTGTGGTAAAAAATTTAAATTAACAAATTCCTATCAAAATAAAATTCAAACATTAATTTTACCATACAAATTATCCATACATAAAAGACCACTCTAGAAAAATCAAACAAATCACAATTACACTAAATAAAAGCACACGGAATAAGTGTAGTGAGAGTTAGATTGGGGGAAATTAGAATTATGATAGGATTTGGAGAGAATAAGGCGACAAAATAAGTGTGGGTGGGTATCCATGGGTTGGGTATCCCTAAACCCAAACCCAACCCAGTGAATAGTGTACGGGTTTAAACCTGAACCAGGCCCGAAATTCGTCAACGCGGGTTTAATCCGCGTTGACCGGGTTGGGTCGGGTAGGGTACCCGTGGGTAGGGCTGGAAGCTTGGTAGCGGTATTTGGGATATACCGAATACCGTACCGAATTTGTCTATATTTGGTATTACCGAATACACGTATTATTTCTTGGGATTGGGATTGGGATTGAATTTCAATTGTTATTCGGTATTAGGGATTACGGGATTGGGATCGGGATATACCGAAATACCGATCAATACCGAAATATAAGCTAGTTTGTATTTTATCCTCTCAACTAAACTCTCTCATTTACTACTAAATGATCCTCAACCACCAAAAGTGTCATTTAATTATACACAGATCATTCCATCATTATTAATAGTCGTCGCTCAACCTCTAATTCGTCAAATTAAAGATTATCAATAACAAGAACTTGAGATGTCTCCTCTCCTCCACTCTCCATAATAATATCCTAATTCAAAACTCTTTGCTTAGTCTTTTTCCCGTAAATTAAACAATAAAATCTAATTTATATATTTAATTATTAATTGCAAATGTAATTAATTTCGTATTTGATAATACCGATTGGGATACCGAAGTACCGATTGGGATACCGAAATATTTAGGGATTGGGATTGGGATACCGAAATTATTTAGGGATTGGGATTGGGATTGACTTTAGGGTGTAATTCGGTATTCGGGATTTCGGTATTTGGTATTGGGATACCGATACCGTACCGATTTCCATCGCTACCCGTGGGTTCGAGTTTTGTTGCCATCCCTACCAAAAGATACCCATCAAATCCAAGTTCAAATCACATAGGATAACACAATAATATTTTATTTTGGTCATACGCAAACTACTACCACAGGTTAAATAATCGTTTTCCAAATTTTAGAGGTGTACTACTACCATTTAAATATTTTTTCACCCATACGCAAGCTACTATCAAGAATTGAGTAATCGTGTTTCAAAATTTTAGAAGTACCACGAAACACCCGTAAAACTCCATGAATCTTAGACTGAATCGGAGACCCCGTAATTTGGAGTCCCGTACGAGAGGACCTCCTGGCACACCCAGGGCCGGGCCTATATGTACATTCATCCTCTTCCCAACCTCCATTTCCAAGTTCATGGACTAAGATCCAAAGGCTAGCATCCTTTTGTAACCCACAGTAAAAGCGCTAGCTTTAGAAAATTGTGTCACATCGAAAGTAACTCTTGCACGTCGACAGAAGAGAAATGTCAAATGTACTTATATATGGCGGAGATTAATATACTGTTTCATGCACGTTTCATGCATGCTAGAAGTAGAATGAATAGCATTCCCCACTATCTCTAGATACACTTGAAAGTTTTTCGTGTGGAGGAATGATGAAGCAGATAAGGTTTGAAATCTGCAAGAAAATGTCGTCAATATCATACTTATATTGGTGGACATCATTTTCATCATGTAATGTGATGAATGCCGACTCAAAAATCACCATCTAGTCTGGTATATAAATAGTAAATACCTGTTACAAGTGGTGTTATTTACAACTAATGTCTAATGATGATAACCATACGATTCGAATCATTAATCACTACCGGCAAAATTCAATCTTGATCACTAGGCTGAATTAAGGATATAAATTGGATATTTATATTTAAGCTCTTTGTTATTAACACCTCAATTTGGACTGATGGTCACGTATTATTAGTGTATACAACGTCGTACAATACATGATCACGCTTTGTACAGCATCGATCAGCATACTTTTGCATCTACGCAGAAGCTTGCTTTTAGCTTTCAAGCCATAACGCCATATGCATATATAGTACGGATATGGGGCATATATATATATATAGTAAATTTGCTATAGTCAGTGTTTTCAAGATGAGTGAAGTCTCTTGTCACGGTGACAAAATACCTAATTTTGGGTTATTCACGTTATATTTGCGTTATACACGTCATATTTGTGTTATTTACGTCATATTTTCGTTATTCACATAAGAGCGTTGATTATTCACGTAATCAACACTGGTAGGTCAGCCACCTGATGTTTATTCACGCGTATTGTTAATTATTCACGCCATTGTAAAATAAAATTTTAATCTTTGAAATATATCAAAATGGATGTCATTCTGTAGATTATGATCAATGCAACATATTTGTACAGATTAAATGATAATCCAAATTTAATTTCATAAAATATAGCCAATACAAATTATTAGGGGAAAAAGTATGAATTTCCATTTATGTGAAAAACTTACACTCTTACATAAATCACCATAGTAAAACGTGAATGAGCACAAAATAACGTGAGTGAATATAAAATGGCGTGAATAAACTGATATTAGGTGTTCTATCACCTAACGTGACAATAAATCTTTTCCTTTCAAGATTTTGACACCTACAAAAAGTTATTTGGTGCAGCTGCTTAAAGTTCATTTCACAAGCTAAAGTAGTGCTGAAGAAAGCACGAAGACCAAAATTTGGTAGTTAATAAAAGCAGCCTTGATTACATTGCATAGGACGATGTAAACTAAGATTGTTAATTAGATGCTTTTGGTTAGTTAGGACCGTTGAGTGCAACAATCAATTTGAGATAAACCGCTTGGTTTCAATAAATTGAATTGTTGGATAGAGATTCAGATATGAATCTTATACTAGGTCCGAATATCATGTATATAGTTAGATTGGGATCGTTGGGCTTCGAAAAAAGGTATATACTAGCTAGAAAGTGGTTTTAATAATATTCTCATTACTCAAGTTAATTACTAGAAAGTGGTTCGATGATGAATGTTATATAACTTACTGACAAGATTCTTTTGAATTATCCTTCAACAAGTTAGAACTCCTAGTCGGCAAACTATTATGCAATTGGGGTCTTTGAATCTCATTTGATAGTCTACTTTATACATCTCAAATCCTGAAAATTAAAAATTTTGAATTATCCTTCAACAAGTTAGAACTCCTAGTCGGCACACTATTATGCAATTGGGGTCTTTGAATCTCATTTGATAGTCTACTTTATACGTCTCAAATCCTGAAAATTAAAAAATTTGAATTATCCTTCAACAAGTTAGAACTCCTAGTCGGCACACTATTATGCAATTGGGGTCTTTGAATCTCATTTGATAGTCTACTTTATACGTCTCAAATCCTGAAAATTAAAAAGTATGTTCCATCCTAAATTTCTACCTCATTGTCCATTATTTCACTTCTAAACCAGCAACGATCACACGAAGTACTAGCTAGTCATATTTAAACTAAGGAATGTAGTATAAATAAAATTTCTTGATCAATTATCATATGCCAAAAAAAAAAAAGGGTAACCTTTTATTCTCTAGGTGGACAACAAAAGGAACAAGATTCTTGCCCATAAAGAAACAAGAATCTGACATGCATTGAAGCAAAGAAAGCCCAACACATAAATATCTAGCCCATTAAATCAATTATTTATTATGTAGGTTTAACTTGATATCACCTGAAGTGGTAGCAAAATCAAACAACTAGCACCCTTACAATCAGTCATACACTAAAATCAAGAACAAAGAAGGGGAAAGGACTTTCTCCCCCAACAATACAGCACATTAATACAATGGTCAATGACTCCATAGTGCTCAACTTGGAGACATCATGTTGATTCAACAACATGAAAGCTTTCTATAGCCAAGAAGTAGAGAAGGAGAGGGAACAGCTGGGGCTGGGGAACCCACAAATTTAAGAACCAAGTTCTCTCCTAGTTTCCTCTAGCCCACACCAAGTTAGATCCCAAGTTGTTCTTTTCTTCTATTTTTTCTTCTTTACCCTTTTCGCCTTCTACTTTTGCCCATCTAATTCTTTGAACCATTTTGCAGCTGCTAATATATCCACCCACCAAAGGGTCCCCCGTTTTGCAGCAATTTCTGGCATTCTCCAGGACCCATTAGTGCCTGTCTACTTACTTCCACAGTATATTGACATCACTCCACCATTCCCTCTCTCTCTCTCTCTCTCTCCTATATCGGAGCTACTTTCAAGTTTCATCACTGGATAGCAACAGTGAGATAATGCTACTGATGTGGAACAACAACCAAGCATCCAAAACGGATGGTGTGTGTTGCGGCATAAAGATAACTACCAGGAAATGGGTTGTATATGGTGAAACAAGGCTCCTAGAATATACTATAACGAGTATATATATAATCTGTTTCACCATCTCTCTTTCTGACCATGGACCCTAGAAGAGAAAGCAGTATATGGGGAATGTGGTCGAGATGAAATCACCATAATAAATGGTATAAACGTAGAGATCTCCGACCACAAAATGATCTTTCTCAGGCTTTTGGCAGAGAAAAGCCTGAGACACTCGTTCAGGCTACTGCCGGCCAGCCGGGTCTATTTGTAGACATATTGATCCACCACCACCACCACCATAAATTGAAACTGTCAAGTTTCTGCTACGTGTAGGAAAAGCAAGTAATGATGATGAGGGAAGAAGAGGAGGAGGAGTATAGAGAGAAAGAGAGTACCTACCTAGCGCTGGAGAACTCATAAAGCTTGCCTCTTGGCGAGAAAATAATAAGTGCAACTTCAGCATCGCAAAGAACAGAGAGCTCAAAGGCCTTCTTCAGCAGCCCGTTCCTTCTCTTTGAGAAAGTCACTTGCCTGCTCGTCGCATTCTCTATCCTCTTCATCTGGGTCTTCCCTCTCACCATTCTTACTTACTTCTCTTTCCTTTCGCTTTAGTTTTTCTTTTTTCTGTTTTCAACCACTCTTCACTACTCTCACTCTCTCTCAGTCTTTTCGTCGATCACCTGAGCTGCACAGTCAGAGGCCAGGAATCTCAGAGGCCAGAAACAGCAAAAAGAACTCAAACAGCAAGGGAAGTCAATGAAAAAGCCTACTGGTGGTGGTGGAGCGGACCACATCAGGAGACGAAAAATAAACAAATTGACCCACGAAATACAGTAACAAGAAGATCGGAGATTTTCCCCCCAAAAAACAGAAAGCGAATAGAAAGAAACCCAATCTCCCCAAATAAGGAAGAAAAAAGCTTTCTACACTCTAGTTGACTATTCAAAGCAGCAGACTTTTGAGCAAGATTGGATCAAAATCGAGCTACCCAGATAAAAGCTGCCGATATAGAAGAAAACCCAGATGGCGGATAGAAATGCAGATGGAGAAGATAGAAGAAAACAAACCCTAGCTAGGAAGCTGTTTGTTCCTTCTTCTTTCTGCTGGATGATTAATCAACCAAGTGCCCTAGCTGTGGCTTGGATGAAGTACTGAGGCTGTAACCCTATCCAAGCAGCAGAAATTATACCCAAAAAAGAACAATAATAACAAAATAAAATAAAATTCCAAGCATAAAAGGCACAGGGAAAGGGGGAAAGGAAGGGGAGTAGGAACTTGGAAGAAGCCAAAAGCAAAGATAGGGAAGAAGGGAGGAAGAGGGCGAGGAGTTTTAAAGGAACCTAATCCCTTTCTTTTTTGGGTAAACTGAGGGGAGGGGAGAAACATGCACCTCCCATAAAAAGCAAAGATAGGGAAGAAGGAGAAGGGCCCAAAAATGAAAAACAACGTCCCCACTGTCCACTGAGGCAAAGGAGAGAAGGCGAGGCGCATAACCATGTGATGCGCCAGCGCCATTATTACCGATTTAAATACTGTTTTTCCTTGGGGTGTCTCTTTTCTCTGTTTCTGTGTTCACGCCTGCTCCCACTTGACAATTGACACGTACGCCGGAGGGGAGCACGCAAAATTGGGCGCCGGTGGAGGCTGACCGACGCGTGTCCAAAGCGTCGGCGGGAGAGCGGTGGAGGAGCGACGGGTATGAGGTCTTCAAACACTGAACATTCCTGTCGGTTGCCAGTTACTCCCGGACTGCCTGCCCGGCCGGGGGTATTAAACTTTTTTAAGTAACTTTCTTTATTTCTATTTTTTTTTTTTTTTTATTCGATCTTCCTTTTTCTTTACACAGGATTTTATTAACCTCTGGGCTGGCACAAAAATGGGTAGGGTAGGTTGCCCGCAAACTGTGAACCACAGCGAGGTCAGTGATGGATAACTAAAGAGCTTGATGAACCAATGGGATTGCGTCCGTACAGCTTTGAGAGAACGACACGTCACTATGGGAGTCCGTACGATTCTTGGGAGGGCAGAACCAATAACAACCTGCCGCGTGCTCCCCGTGCCTTTTCGCATTAGGTTTTTGCATTGTTTATTTTTCTTATTGTCTTCAATTTATTGTATTGAGTTTCAATATTAAAATCGATAATTTAATAAGTAATAACTTTAGTAAAGGTTGTTAAAAAAAAGTATAGGTCTAACATATTTCAGATGATGTATACATGTGATGTAATTAGAAAATAAAAAATTATTTTAGGTCTTAAAATGAAACACAATATTTGTATTTGAGAAAAAGATGTGACCACCAAAATAATGTCTTATGGTAGTTTGTAAATCTCTCGTTTTTTCTTTCTAATTTTTTTAGGGACCGCCAAAATCATTCAGCTTCCAAATAATGTATATTTCAAATGCATACATGAACAATACATCTAATTAGAATATATAATTGATTAAATACAATAAAAATCATGTACCACCATCTGAACCAGTATTATACATTAACTAGTTTTTTACCCACCCGTTGGGCGGAGTATTTTGTTTGGTTGTTTTATAATTCGTTATAGTATTCTAATTGTTATTATTATTTATGTTTGTTAAGATAATATACATGGAATTGTAAATCTCACTTACCTTATTTCAGGTATTATTTCATACTTTTATACCTTTTGTTTATTTATAAACATTTTAATTTTATTAACTGAGCTCTTTGTAGACGGTTCTTTATTGATTTAATTTTTTTTATCAAACTCGCCCTTTAAGATTATAAACATAAGAGATAATTCATTCTTTAGCACACAATTGTGATAAAGAAGTTAAAAAACTTACGGCCACAAAAGAAGAAGTTAGAATAAGAAAATATGCTTCAATTAATTTAAAAAAAAATTGAAGAGCTTTTTATTTTCTCTCCCTTCTCATATTTCGGTATATGATAATAGAGAATATTCCGATCTAAATCCCATGAATATCGTGTATTATCACTTACACATACAATTTTGGAATAATGAGAAAACTCATTAGCATCCACGTCCATCAATCTTCCACGTACTTGTTTAATTACCTTGAAATGTTCTAGCAAAACCAACCACAAACAAAACTATCAGTTGTCACTAACTTATTAAAGCAATATTTTCAGCAAATTAAACTGCATATAATTAAACACAATTTATATTTTGTAGAGAACTACATATCTCTTGCAGAAAAGAATTGTGCTTTATTACCTAATAACAACATAGACAAATAATGAAAAGAGCAGTCTTCAATACAACTCAACTCATTTTATCATTCAGATTCCTCATTTGCGAACTGAATATATGCATCAATCAAAATAGTAGTTTGTAAGAAAACAATAATGTCAAAATCAATCTTTAGTTAGGGATTCAATGCGGACAAATTCACCTTAATGAAAAAACAAATGTCACCGCAAACATGTAGAACTTATAAACACATCGAAATAGACAACCGAGAAACCCCAATTATGTTCCCTTCTACTTATAACTCATTTTCTACCTACTAATTACTAACCAGATCATCGTTGTATAGCTAGCTAGTAGTAGCATGTCAATCATGAACATAAAATATAATAAACAATCATCACAACAACTCTACTTTCCATTTCAACATTCAAGAAATCGGGTTGCAATAGGCATTCAAGAAAAATGATCAATTATTCAACCAAAGGAGGTATGTCCTAAGTCCAACCAATTAACCCTTCTAATTATATTTTATATACATAAAAGTATATGGCGACCCTTCTCCGTAAAAAACTAAGAAGAAATATATTCATTCATCGGGAGTGAGAAAATTTATCATCCAACAGTTGTAATTTGCAAGAAATTAAGAAAAGAATGGGAAGAAGAGTATAACTCGGCCAGTCAACCGCAAACAATAACATATCGCTGAGAAAGTGAGGCCAGTTGCCAGCTTTAGATCAAGGAGGAAGAGGGGGCAGTCGACAACTCTCGGCTTGGTTCACCTCATCTTCACAATGATCAAATTAACTTTTTTCGTCAACAGGCAAAAATATGTTACAACTGCTCAAAATTTTGTCATCTAATCGTTGTCTCGTGTAACTCCTGCCTCCTATTCTCATACAAAGAAAAAAAACCGTATGTATTACCATTTCCTTCTCTATAAATTATGAGAATAGAAATCTCAAATAATTTAGCAACTAATAAGAGTGCTTTGTTTATTTTTATGGTGGTTGACATACTTTCTTGATTTCTTATTTTCAATGTTGGATTTTATTTCTAGAGATACAATCAAAATGGGAAAGAAATAGAAACAAATTCAAAGTTTGCATTAATAATTAATATGTTTTCATTTAACCGGAATGAATAAGAAGTTTTTCAAAAAAATAAAAATTATTGCTCTGTCTAGTTTATATTCAGACATTTAGGAATATACATAAGAAAGAAGTGAGTGTTTGATAACAAAAAACATATAGTCATATGGTTAATTTATCAAATTCGATTGACTGTCAAATGCTTATTTTCTCTTAGACCATCGTTTATATTTCGTTTAATTGAAAATATTAATATTTATGCTTCTGCTTGTTTTTTTTTTTCTTCATCAAAATGTAACTTATTATTAAGTTTTAATAAAAATGAATAGAAAATTTACTTAATCAGATTTAATCAGCTTGGATTAAACAAATACAATATATGTCACTCTCTGTTTACATCTTTATAGTTTGTTTAATTGGGAAAAAAAAGTATTACTTAGGCGTGTGTGTTTTGTTTAAATCTTTCCTAAAAATTAACTTATTTTAATTTTAGTAAAAATGAGTAGGATTATTAAAAGAAGAGAGAGAAAACTTCATAAATAGATCAATAAATAGTTTTTTGTTTATAAAAAAAATTGTCCACCTTGGCAACTTGTGCATTCACCAAATGCTTATGTGTCAAGAAGTTTTTTTTTTGAATAGCCATAATAGTTAGTATAGATAGATAGATATAGATAGATAGATAGATATCATGAAAACTCCATGCAAGTAGGTTTTACGCTATTAAACTGGCAATTCGTAGTGATACCAGCTGATTTGACAATACTACACAAGTATCATGCTATTAGAATATGTTATTCTGTATAACAATATTTCATCGTTATGTCATTCGTTGAACCACGATCATATACCACTTAATACAATCGCACCCGTGTATAGTTTCACGCACCATACTCGTAACCCTATCCCTATTGCACCACATTTTTCGTCGACTCCATGCTAATTTTTACCAAATTTTTCGTTGAATCCTATATTTATTATGGATTTGTTGGTATTATGTATTTGAAAGTTTTATTGTTGAATTTGGTTGAATATATATATATATGTAGGTATGATGGATTTTTTGCCCTCATACAAGTCCCACTTTAACCATGGGATTTGCAAGGGTCCAGGAATTTGGACCATTAAATTCCATGAAGCCATATATTTTACTCCTGAAAATGAAAATCGGCTTAGCAAATAATGGAGGTGGGACAAATCTATAATAAACTGAATTTGGAATTCAAATTCATTAAGCAAAAGAACTTCGAGTTTCGAGATCAAGACAGTGATTGAGATTTGAGAGCCAACCCATGGTGTTTGCCAATTGCCATGCGCCAACACCCTTTCGTTCTTTGCTTAGGGGGCTGTTTGTATGTAGCACAAATCAAATCCCCGTGATTTTTTCGTCTTGAAATCTATAATTTAGCAAGACAAAATATATATAAAGGATAATTACTATTTATTATTAGCCAAATATTTTTTAGATTTTTTTTATTAATCAAATCTATTGAAATGGTACCAATTGACCAAATGTTAACTTCTAGTTAATAATTTTGTTAGTAATATTGACTTGACAACATAATACTAACTTGGAAGAGAGGTCAATATTTCGAAATTGTAGTAATTTAACTAAAAAAAATAATTATAAAGTTATTGAAGACAACCAAAAAAATAGCTAATATTTTGATATATTATAAAAGATTTGACCAATTCTTAGTAATTTAATAGATTTGATTAAAAATATTTGGATAATAAATAGTCATTACCCGAATATAAATAAGTGTTAAAGTTGTGCAACTTGCGAATTTATAATTTGATATTTCTAGTTCATATCTATGGCCGGAACGAATTTTCGTAAATTTACCGAAAATGTTCATTGACCAATCTAACCCTAAATATTTTTCCTTTATTCCAGCCTTCGCCCTCGTTTATCCTCTTCCGGTTAAGTCCTAACTCTTTCTCTCTAGTCTCTCTACCTAACCAATTACCCTTCCGTCTGGAATTGTGGAACTAACAGATCTGGGGCTGAGCAACAAAATAAAGAAGAGCAGAAAACGAAAAGCCAGAATGAAAGAGGAGATTCCATTCCATGGGCCTGCTCTGCTCTGCTGGAAGTAATTAACTCGTAGGTACGTTAATGGGTACTCTCCGACAGCCAGAAGAAACAATTCACCCAGAAAGAGAAACGAGTAACTGCAGGGTAAGCGAAGGAAAGTTGAGACAGAGGAGCGAAACTGCGAAAGCGAAGAGAGGGAGACGAGAAGGTAGGCAAGTCGGGGAAAAGGGCAGAGGGTGGAAATGGAAACGGGAATGGCTGATCGAATTAGGTTTGTAGTGAATTTTCTACTTTTGGGCTTGTTTTTTTATTATTATTTAATTTAATGCGCGGGGCAGGGTGAGAGCGAATCAGGTCAGTAACTCTATGGTCAGTAACCATGAGTAACATGTCCACATCAGGATGACATCAGTAGCCTCTCTCCTGGAAAGTCTTTTATCTTTTCCCCATTAATCTTTAACGGACGATTTCTCTCTCGTTTTAAGTCGAA